CCAAGGCATACATCCTTGCATTTACCTATATACGGTTTCCTTGAGAGACAAGAAACGAGGAGTTTTCGCGGCAGGGAATGAATAATCTTTCACAGGTCTCCTTGCAAGCAGAATGGTTGCAGTTCTGGTTCATTCCAGCTTATTTCTGAGACCTTTCTTTGTAAAAACTGTGTGGATGAAACTAGAGAAGTCTTTCATCTTGCAGAATGAGGCCTCGGAATTCCTCTAAAACATTATTTTTGAGCATACATTCGGCAGGGGACCTTCTACACACCATCGAATTGTGAAGGATTCTAACTTTTACGTGAATCGAATTGACTCGGCCTGTTTGACAGCCAACAAGGATCCAGCTACCGCAAGCTGTACAGTTCCTGGACGAGAAATCACTTTTGTTGCCCCGCGAAAAGAAATGAACACGAGGATAAACGTCTGCAAACCAAACATTCGCAACGTAAGAGAGGCAGCACATAGGTTGGATACTTCCTCCACTAGGTCGGGAATCTAAATGAACACAGAGCTTCAGACATGGTGGATACATGTCAAATAATTCTCTCTTGAAATTAAGAGCCTACTTGGGGGCTCCTTCGAAGCTGCATCGGAAAGCAATTCTGTGAAGCTTTGCACGATCTTCTCATACTACTCTCATTCAAACGGAATGACACTACTTAAAAAGGAGGTGTGGCCAGGCGGATCTTTTCTGAGACAAATTTAGCAAAAAGTGGTTTCAGTTGGAGAGATAGGAGGACAGGCTTACAAACAAAAATTGGAATCTGATTTTTCGAAAATCTGGCTTATATAATTCAGGGTCATAGAAGTGGAATCGGAACAGTTTGAATCAGAACTACTAAAGTGTTTCTGAAAATCGTTTACGGATCAGAGTACTTGTAATTGACCGGAGGACCACATTGGTGATACGCCTCAGTACTCATCAGGAAAGAAGCTCCTGTGGAAAGCCTTCAGGAAACGTGTATTCATATCAGGTGAACGAACATTTAGTTTCTGGGCTGGACAAATGGTCTTTCCCAGATAATCTGAACTACCGTTGCCACAAGCTATCAGACAGTTAACACGCACTCAGTCTAGCTCACGTATCCCAGACACTAAAGTTATGACCATGTTCAAACCAATCACGACATGCGATGGCTAACTTGCTTTGCGGTTTCATTTGCGCGCGTTTGCTTGGTTGTAAAACTTGTCACACGCTACCAACGGTTGACCGAAACAGCGCAGCCATAACAGCACATATTGTAACGCCGTTTTTGCTTTAAAAACATTGTGATCAGCAACTCGTTGACGGAAACGTTGGACAAAAATTACTGTTGCTGTTGCTGTCTAACTATCTGACAACGGTCTCTCATCTGAGTGGGAACAGAATTAAGTAAAATAGTATTAATGATCATATCAGGTGTCTGTTCAACAGTTCGTCGAACTTGGCAATTAGCTTGTGAGCTTCGTCAGCCAAAAGGCGACATCGTGCACTAATGATGTCACCGAAGCTACCGATGTCCGAGCGATTATTCTTTCGATATTTTTGTAAACCAGTTCTTGACTAATGTACATAGAGTGACCCTGCCAATTGTAGACTGGCTAGTCTCACGCTAAATGTCTTTAAGTATGGGTTTGAATGAGCGCTGCCTTCAAGAATCTCCTCTGATTTCGACAAGGCTTTCCATGGCGTGACACACACACACCTCTACTGCTTCAGCCTCGAGCATACGGAGAATCGGACGAGATTCACACAGGGCTTTCTTACTTACTAGGGATAAGAAATAAAGCAAGTTAATCGCTGTTTGAAGGTTGATCCTGCAGTAGCTCTTGAAGAAAACCTCGCATAATCAATGACCTGCATTACTTCCTCAGTTTGAGGCTGTTAACTCTGGTATATTATTCTTAACACACCTCTTACATGTCTTGAACACCCGGTCAGAAAACGTAGGATATTTGCTCATATTTGGATAAGATCACTCCAGCAGATGCGTGTGTTCCATTCCGATGATCCATTAGTTATACTGTTGATTTGTGCCATGCTCCTATATCTTCGGGAGCAACACTAGACGTTCCAGCCAAGCGCATTTCGATTTCAGCTGTATAGGACGCCGTAACAGAGATAGTATGCGCATCTGAGTAACGAAGCTACCGTTCCATATCCATATCCAGAACTATACATCCGAACAGCTCCTGTTGCCACTGTTCCAAATTTGTGGTTAAGGAATTGGAAACTTTATTTGGTGAAAGCTGCGTTTCACACTTATCAGTTCATCAAAAGCTAGTTTCTGGTCTCTCACATGAAGCCACTGATCTGGTCGACTCGCACTCTCACACTCGGCCGGATGGAAAACACATAGACAGCAATAGGGTGAAGCTATGGAAACCTGGGAGTCTAGAGCTAAGTCGCCTGCTACGTTAGCACGAAAATAGAGAAACACCGATGAATATGTCATCTGTACACTCAGTAAAAACACCGCAGGGCGTTTTTTCTAAATACCTTGATGAAAAGTGATCGGAATTCACCATTTAAAAAGTTGGAAATACGACGGTTTTATAATACTTTTGTGGAATATACGGTGTTTCACAAACAGCAATCACCATCCCCCAAAGTAGTATCAGGCCTCTGTTTGAAAGGTTAGCTTCTTGAGAGGAATCGGTGCATGAGAGGGTTTTGGAGAGTTATGTGCTGTATCACGATTTCCCTGCTCATATAAAGTATGAAAAAACATTCAGCTGTAGCATCCTTTCGGTGCCTAACTGCCACGCCACCCGAGAGAAGCACAGGGGCTTGGATAGTACCAGGTTGCCAAAGCCGAGGTCGGGTTTGAACCAGAGACCTTTCCGTAAATTCGAGATCTAACCACTGAGCCATATCGCCCACATAAAGCTTACATTTGCGGCAATGGTCTCACTGTGATTTCAGAGGTTGGTGACAGGGGACTAACCGGAAAAATTGGAGAAGCGCGGCCCCACACAATAGAAAGAAGAGCAAAGCGTCCAAATGCGTAATGGGTACAGCAGGATAATGAACACTGGCAACGGGAGCATGAGATTGGAAAACCACGGGGCGAATTTAGTGTAATGTAGAAATAATCACGTGAACTGGAAGTGTGGGAAGATTCCAACCCGTGCTGAAGATCGTAACTTACCGATTTGACCGGAGCGAGTACGTAGTGAATATACTACTGATTGGGGCCATATACTACTGGACTGCCATATACTATCTCATCCGTACACCTTAAATACCATTCTTTACCAACAAAGTAACCCATGAAATCACACAAAAGTATGGTTCGGTCTGAGATGCTCAATGTAGGTCCACTTGAGTTGCAGTAGGATTTCACCTGATTACGCATGGGATAAACATATCGGATAAATTTTCTGGTGCCCCTTGAGGACCATTTCTCTGAAAATATGTCCGGAAAGCGCCTGGTAGTTGAGATCTTCAAATTTCTTAAATTCAGAGCTATCTCGGAAGAATTAACTCAAAGTGGGCCTTTTCTGGTAGTGTTGGTCTTTCCAGAAAAGACAGCCATATAACGATAGGTGGCGTTCATTAATCCACTGTCAGCATTGATTTCACGAAAAGATTGTGTAGATGTCAGCACATACACGCCTCAACAGAATCTGAACATCTTTACCACCAGTAACTGCTTCAGATAGTCGAAAAAATGGTGTAAATTGTGGGGCGATGATGCAGACGTACGTAAGTGGGCATGGGCTGGCGCAGTAAGTTTGCACGCACTGGTACTCTCTCCTCTGTCCTTAGGTATACTTGGATCTGGAAGTCATGAAAGTGATCGATTTCCATTGATAATCCAAAACAATCAAACTGTCCATATATAGCTCTAGGTCTGAAGTGCTGCATTCATTTCCCTTCAGCCATCACTCTCTATTCGAAAACAGTCAGATCGATACAAGATTCCATAAAGTTAAGTTTAGAAGCAGAGCTTCTATGCAGTCACAGATACAAGTCGTGAAGAGATCCAACGGAACCAATTAGACTCACCGATTAGGCTTACACAGCGTGCGACAACTGAACAGGCGGACGCCGCCGTGATTTTGTCTGCATATTACCGGCCAATCGCCATCTCCGCCCACGAACCTACTTTGTGATTGGTAGATATGAACACAAGTTTCATGGCATTCCGTACCTGCGAAATGACAAGTCAATAAACCACAGTTTTTGGGTCAGTGGCGCTCATCTGTAACGAACGGTCTCTTACTGTGTGTGCTTTGCGCTTTCACATGAAACTTTGACCAGTAACCACACGGGCAAACAAGATAGGAGTGGACAGCGCTAAAATATCTGTCTGGATGTCCGCGTAGATGATAGCGAAAAATGAACGAGACGTATTATTTATTTCAGATGGTGGTGATTGCGGGATTTTGTAGAACACATACTCACATGACTCTCGATTGAAGAATCGTCCCCCTGTCCTTGTGCAATCGCCCTGCTGAGTCCACACCAAAAGGGCGAGCACTGGACTCGACTTCCACTCCTAACAGAGCTCATCAGCAGCGCATATCCAATGGCCCTACCGGGATTTGAGCCCAGACTTCTGACATGCGAGGCGAGCGTGTTATCGCCACCAGACCAGCGCATGCTGGCTTTATTCGAGTTTTTACGCTTGAACAGGTGAACATGTTCACGCTTGAGTGATGTGAGCAGAACGCCCGAACGACAACCCAGTAACATATTTCGGTTGTGTCGATCGATTGACGAAAGCTTATCAGCGGCCACTACACGTTTTCTCCTATTTAGGACTAATCTAGTAGGCGCAGTTCCCCTTATTCGATCCCGAAGTGGGAGGTACGTGATGTAAAGCAGTCTGTTATGAACTAAGACGGTTTTCAGCTAAGTTGGAAGAACTGGCCGTTCATGATGTTGAAACATTGAATCAGAGATTCAGTCCGACCGATTAAAGAAATGCTGAGCTTAACAATCAGCAATATCACTTACTGGTTTCAGAAATGTGTGTAACTTGATGGACTTTGGAGAGCTTCTGTCGCTAAGCTCCAAAACCATCATTGCCAAGTGGACGATGAATGCGCTCCACGGGTACGCTTGTCCGGTTTGAGGTTGGAGGCACTCGAAACTCCGGTAACCAAATACCGTAAATTGGCTGCATTTTAAGCATCCATGGTGATGATTTCTAAAAAACCAACATGTAAACAAACTCCATGTTTAACAGGAATCACCATCAGTCATCATTTCAAAAGTGTCCTGCAACCTACGCTCTCATCTCATTTCAAAGTAATACATTTGAGAAATAATACAAGCGTTTTCGTGATACTTACATACAAAAACCTACTACAAACATCCTAACTGAAATTCCAAACGTATTCCTGGTGGTTCTCTTCAATAAAGCGTCGTTGGAAATCTGCGTCTGATTCAACAAGATCATTGTGATTTCAGTGAGAGTTCTTAGGACCCCAGTTGACTCAACAGCTAATAGCATACTCACAAAGACACTTATAAGGAGGTAGTTAAAGGACGGTCACAAATCACGTTGGAACGACTAAAGGTTTGGAGCATCTTCTGACCCCACTAAACTGGGATCACAGTCCCCACAAAACTATTCCTTCGGATTCCAAGCTGTCAGTAGCCATAGCTTGAGGAGAACCTGTACAAACGAGAGATCGCTGGTTCGCCTTCTAAATCACCATCTTCTGCAAATGTTTCTTCCACTGCCCCTCTGATGCTGCAGCCCGAAGGTGCTGTGCCACAGGAGATACGGGCAAAACATCCATCTCTCCCTCTAAGGTCCGTTCTTCTGAGCACACCACCTTATCCAGAGGCGCGAAAGCCCACCATGACTCGTCGTCATCGTATTCTAGACCGGATGCTGCAAGGAAGCGCAAGGCACAGTCCCCAAGTACATCATCCCTCGGCTCCATCTCGTCGTCCTATTCTGACTCAGCGAAAAAGAACATAGTCTCTCAAGCAGGGACGACGCGAATGCCCTCGAGTTCTGTATCCTCCTTGCCGAACAGAAAAGAGGAAGCACGTTGGATTCTCCGTGAACGTTCCAATTGTGACTCAAACGAGTGAGAGCATCGGTCTGACCGATCACAATGAACGGTGAATGGCCATCAAGAATGACTTCAAATCAGTTGCATACGTCCGTCTGGGTGCCGTGCGAAGCCGTATGGGAAATATCTTTAACCTTGATGCTCCCAACGAAATTAACGTGATTCAATTACACATCAGAAGATAAACCAGGGCGCTAAACCGATGACCCGACCGGATAAGTCTTCATAACCGTTCACTTGCGACCGATTTTCCTTCAACCAATGGGAAGAATTTCCAGCAATCTTATGAGTAGTGCATGAAGTCCACACATGTATTGGGATTCATAGGACTTTCAGGATTGTACGGATTAGTAAACTAAGCTTTTGACGTTCAAAAGGGTCTATCAGTTTATGACTAGATGTTTCCGGTTCTCGAAGTGTCTCCACGGGAGTTGGCCATTAGTGGAGTTCACCAGGTGTATTGAACGTCTGTTGCAGCGCAGTCATTTCTTTTGACTTTACTTAACTTCCCCAACTACTCAATCCGTTATTTTTGGTCAAACTTGTTCGCAATTTAGCCCAGAGGCGGCCAGTACACCAGTTAATGTTAAACTAGTGGATTCGAAGAATCTGTAATTGGCGGAGGGATGCCAAGTCAGACTTCCTTCACTAATTTTACCATAAAGTAACGACTAATTTTTGGACACCATTTTTTTAACCTTTTTGGGACAGAACTCATGTACCTTGTCGTCATTAGTGTTCGCAGGTGTTGATCAGAATCGGTTATCTGACTTGCATGTTTGTCACCTACACCTACCCTCCTGGTCCGGTTTAACCTTAATAGTGTGCTCAAAGGTTATTGCGGCGGGAAATTGAATTCGTAGAAATGAGCGAAACAACTAACGAGCATACAACGATCGTGTTGACGACTACTTGTAGGCAACTGATGTGCTCTAGGCCGTGCGTTCGCTCAAAACGCACAACTGTCTCATTGGTTATTTAACTCAGCTGCACCTTTCTTGCTTTACTTAGCGGTAGTTGGTTCATACGACAGGATTGGTGGGCCTTCCAGATGTCCCGTAAAGTCACTGCCCACGAACAGCGAGCGAAGAATCCCCTTCTTCAACTACCTTCCAAAATGGCAGATCAGCACATGACAAAGTAGCCGGTGCACGTTCGTAAAACCAGCTTTCAGAATTTAGGGCAACGTGACCGAACTATTGAGGGCGTTACTGCTGCATTAGTTTCCCGAGAGATGGGCTACTGAAGAAGCCTTCTTTAACTATTTAGGTGGATAGTGTGTCTATCAAATTTATCCCCAGTTGCACCTTGAGTATCAGTGATAAAAGAACCCGGAGTTTGCTGATGTCTTGTACGCGAAGAGGACTGTACAGATTGCCGCTTTGAATACCCAGGTCCAAGTACGCAGGTTAACTTCATTTCTCATCCACAAGGCCTTCAAGATTTGCAAAAGACCTTATCCTACTACACTGTTGCGATACTTTCAATTTCGCCAGAGTGAAGATTTATCCTCTAAAAGTTGCTTGCGTAAGGGAGAATTTCGACTTACTGAAAGTGATCGTCAGTCCAACCAGCCGTGCATGGAAAGTGACTAAACCATGAACGACTTGTTGCTCGTCTGTATTTTCGCCGATTGAGACTATATCAATGGCGTATGTTCGAGCTCAGTGAGACTACATAATACCTCTCCAGTGTCCAGCGCATCAACCAGGAAATCACAAAGATCGATAACACCGGCGATAAAAGACACCATTGTTTCACACTGGAGGCGAGACGAAACTCAACGGCATCTCACTTCTGAAACTGAACTCGATCCTTTGTTGGCAAGTAGCAAGTTCTGAGTAGAATAATGAGTTTCAACAAGTCCCTAGTGACTCGTAGTGGACAAAATCAAACATAACACGAAAGTAAAGTAAATGGGCTGGAATTCTGCACGATGTTACAGACATTTACGTAGGACCCTAGTGACAGTGGACAAAATCAAACATAACACGAAAGTAAAGTAAATGGGCTGGAATTCTGCACGATGTTACAGACATTTACGTAGGATGGACACTGGTGCCTTAACAGCGGACCTGCGATCACCCAACGTAACCAAAAGATTCAAAGGATGGCGTATGTAGCCGGCTGTCACTTATGTTGCCATGCCGTCAGAGAATTCGGTTTGGACCTCTTTCAGCCCAAATAGAATGAAGTTGATAGTCCTGAGCGGTTGACTTTGCCATCTTATATCAGATGGAGTTACCTTCTCGCTAGAACAAGGGTACTGTCCAGTTCTCTAGTGCTACCATTTTAGGCCGACTATTTTCTATAACCGATACCTGTCGAGATGCTATCAGGATGGTCGATTCGAATGCCATGTTACCAAGTATCGCACACATTGGTGCGGACATCTCAGTGGATAGGCATTGTGCTGATGGTCGAAGCTCGCTTGTTGGTCACTGCTGCATGAGGCAAATCTGAGACTGCATCGTTTCCAGAGAGCGCCATAGCATTGTGTGAAGTGAATAACTGGCCAACTCCGACAGGTAACAAGGGTATATGATAGCAGTAAGGCTCCTAGTATGTCTTGCTTTTTGTTTGTCACCTTAATCAATCATATGTGATAAGCGAGACAGCAGGAAAATTGTTGATAGTGGAGGAACAGAGACGCCGTCATTTTTTTGGAATTCGGAAGTGATTTTATGCGCCAAATCAGTCGGAAATCGTCCAAGTTTTGGTATAAAAACCGGGTTTGGTCGAACTTCGTATACAGAGAACCAGTCAGATTATAACGCTTTACACTCGTTTTCGCCGTTTCGCTTTATTGGAAACAAGGATGACAGGACATATAAGTCGGAAGCTACTCGACAGCAAGTCCGTTGGGGACGTTTTCTGCGATGCAATGAACGGCTTTGCTCAGTTCGTAAGACCCACTGCCACCCATACGAAGCGTCTTTGGGAGGATTTTGAATGAACCAGTTGCTTAGATGTTAGAATTCTCCGATAGACGAAAAAAACTACTGCTTTTAGTAAGCCTATTTCGAACAGTGCCATTTCAACCGCATTTGTCTGCACGCCGGTGCAGTGTTTCCTATACAGCTTTCGGCCGCTACACCTTCTTCCTAGCATGTCCGTGGACTGTGTTGTATTCGCTCTGCGCTGAGTCAGTTGGCGTGTGGTGACTGTGTTCTGCCTTCCTATATGTAAGAAGGTTTGGAGCGTGTGAAATCACCTAGTATCGTTCCGACGCATTCATGACAGGAGCTGACTTGTTTTCAGTCAAGGTTGAGAGAGAGATAGGATTCTGTGGCGTGACTCGTGTTTTTGTGAAACAAACGAGTCGCGTGATCTAGTGAACGAAGATGTACCTTAACCACTTCAGCGAAGCTGGTTAGAGGAATAAGGTAACAAGAGAGTAAACGGTACAGATCATCAAGATTCAACAGGTGACTGCTTGTGACGACGGGTGAGAAAAGCTAGCTTAACGATGGCAGCATCAGCTAGCGGTCTGTTTGCCTAGAATTCATCTCCTGAGTGACGCGGGCCATCAGACGCTCCTTTGCAAGCATTTGGGGCTAAGCTGTCCTGTTGTACCAACTTTAATAAGCAGTTACGGGCCACCAGTTGGGCATGCTGATCGCTGCTGCTCACTCTCTGGTCTTATTCCCAAGGTTTTACACCAGGTACAAGGTATTCAGTTGTGCGCAGCTGAGCGCAGACGGGATGTAGCACTACCCATTATTCATCGAGTAATCATCGAGTAATCCATGCTACCAACATTGTTACACTTTTTCATACAAATAATGTCGATTTCTTCGTTTCAAAATATAATAATCAACGTCATCATCATGATTGCCATCATCGTCCTTATTATAATTGTCAGCATTATCATTACCAAGTGTTGGTGTTTATGGGATTTTGTAGAATACATACTACTCACATGACCCTCGTTTGCACAATCGTCCTTCTATCCTGGCGCAAACATTCTGGTATCAGCAACCAGCAACCTAAAACAAAATGTGTCCAGAAGGTTTCAAGCGTCTTGACTGGAAAACTCTGACTGGAGATCCAGTCGATCTATACAACCAAGGCATGTTACTGGGTTGTAGTTCGAGTTCAACTCACACCAGCCAAGCGCGAACATGTCCACTTGTTAAGACATTAAAATTCCGGTGAGTCTAGTGTGCGCTAGTGTGGTAGTGGTAACATGCTCTCCTCGCATATCAGACGTGCGGAGTTCAAACCATTGACTGGCGCTTGACCACCATACGTTAGTTTGCATATTCATAGCGCACCGGCAAGTTGTGTTTGCGTGCTTCTCGTCGGCTCCCGTCCGCTGGACCAAAAAAGTAACTTTTGTGCTAACCAGCTAGAATCAAATAAGAGCCGAAAGTGAAAATAAATCTGAGGTAGCTACCCACCCCATGATTGTAGCAAAAACCGTAATAATGCAGAGAGTGATGATGCTGCTCAGCTTCCGTAGAACTGATTCACATTGTCAAATAGTTGCATGCTCGGACATGTTTCGTTTTTTCAAAACATCGCTAAAATTGGGGCACACCCACAGAAGACTGCGGCATAGTGGAAGAATGTAGAAAATGTTAGATATGAGCTGGTTTTGTGCGACACATCTTGGATATCCAACGGGATAGCAGGGTTCATTGTCAGCGTATAGGTTTTCTCCGAGGCATCACTTTGCCGATTCGGTAAACAGCGGGTGATGTTGATATTAGAGAGTGAATGAATATTGAGGAACTATGTCATGATCATGAAAGGTTATGCAGTGAACTCATGCCCGTCTTGATGATCACAACCGTCCTAATATTGTACCTCTGCACGGACCCGTTCCTTTTGTGTGTAATCCCACTAGAATACCATATGTTCGGCAAAGT